CGATGGACTGGCATCCCATCCAGGGGGGAGTAGAAATATTCCTAGTCGCTTCATGCTACAGAAACCGGAGTTAAGCACCGACCTAATGGGCCACTAGGCTCCTAAACAGACTTTACCTACCCTACAGTATTATATGGATTAGATCAACTTCTAATCACCTAAAAAGTTGCAGGGAGTGACATCATTTCAATACAAATTTAAAGTCAATTTAACACAGGTTGATTCAAGACAAACTTTGTTTTCAATAGTCTGTTGTGTAATAAACCAAACTATTTTTGCAAAACAACCTTTGATGTTAACAAACTGACCTGATGTGTTAGGGAAACAACCTTTGATGTTAGCAAACTGGTTGTTAGCAAAATGACTCCAGGGAAAATGAGTACAACACTTTGTTTTGTGAAATAACTGTCTTGAAAACATATAAAACTTTCTGTTTCTTTACCAACTACAGTACTATTCTAATTAGTATCTGGGTTCCACCTGTCTTTTAGGTTGTGGGACTAGGAAATGAAGGTGTAGGGAAGACCTGCCTTGTCAAGAACTTTTGCGAGAAAAAGGTATATTATTAACAAGTATCCCTGTTTAGAGTAGAACCATGCTTTGAGCCAAACTCAAACTCCCAAGGGAAACAAAAATTAGTTTGAGTCAGTAAAGGCTTGTGTTATTGAGATTGGTATTAAATTTCAATTATCCTCTTAATAATGGAGTCATGTTTCAACCATTCTTGCACAATCAACAATTTTGTCATATAAGAACATTTATTTTGGGAAGTTTATGAAAATGTATTACATTGTCATGAATAGTACCATGTTTGTAGTAATTACTATTATTATGTGGCTGTGTCTCACAAGGACTGGGAACAACCGAATTCACGAATTTGATTGGCTGAAATCAATATAATTGAAAGTGGTCTAGACTTTCCCATCTAGACCGGCATCTAGACCTGTCTAGAAAAAAAAGCTACAAAGAATATGAACAATTGGCATATAAGACACAGCCATATAATAAACATCTTATTAACCGAGCTAGGTCGGTTAATAAGATGTTTATACCTTTATAATGTTTATACCTTTATAATGTTTATACCTTATACCTTTATAATAAGATGCTTATACCTCGCAAGGCTGCAAATAACTAACGGGCAGTTGCTGGTCACGTTGTCCGGTCAAACATGCTTTTGTTCAGACACTACTCGTTTTTGGCCGGTCAAATTTTAACAGTCGGAACTCTTGCGGTAGTGAACCCAGATTGCACAGTAATCCTTTTACAACTAAAAAACAACTGAATCCAAGTCGGTCTGGCAATAAAAATTACAAGTTAATCATTTTACTACTCTTTACTGCAGAAGCAGCCAAACAAACTCTCTTTTCATATATCTCGACTTTTTTTGTTGTCAGCACAACTCAAAGCCCTTTTTTTTAAAGTTACCGTTGTGAATTTTTGTTAGAGTAAAAGAGTGGTAGGATTCTCCAGGTTTTGGGCCTTTTGCTCGCTTCTTGCACTTTGCAACAAATGCTACTTGGAGTATTCTCGATGCAGCGAGATTATTCTTCGTGAGGGTGCTCAGTTTCCGATCATTCAATCAATCAAACAATCAATCACTTTATTTAAGAGTAAATTATGGTATCTAGCCAAAGGTAAAACCCTCTACTAACTGGGAACACTTAAATAAAGCAAATAAAATAACGGAAGACACGATGATTTGTGGTCGTGACAAGACTTGATGACATTGTGGAAATTTGTGACTGCTGGGAATTTCTAGACCACTTAAATTTGTCTACTTTTATATTCGTTTTTTTTTTTTTTACTTTCGGAAACATTACTGTTGTCCTTTGTGATTATCAAACAGTTAAAAATTAAAATTTCTTTGAACGAGTCGGTAAAGGACCGGACAAGATGTCCAGCAATCCAAGGATTTTTCCCTTCAGTACCCAATTTTGACCAGACATTGTCCGTTGACCGGCCGTTATTTGCAGCCCTGACCTCAGTCGCTGGTACAGATCTCACTGCGTTCGGTCTGTACTGGCAACATTGGTCAAGATTCTCCTATACAGACCTCCCGCTCGGTTAATAAGAACTAAGTAAAGGTTGGGAAAAGGTAAAGGCCAGCAAAGTGAAGTAAAGTAGAGCTTTAATTAAATCCATATGGCAGCCATCTAAGGCTGAATTGCATGAATTTACAAATTCCATTAATACAAAGCTTATAATATGAAAAAGTGCTAAAACCTACAAAATTAAGCTTAGAATATTAATTTATAAAAATTGGTAAAAATTCATACTACGAAAACTGCTAATGCCTGCACATAGATGACAGAAATGTGCTAGGAAAACACTCGCTATGCATGACAGGATCGGCAAAGTGGCGTTGTCTTCTAAAGTTATAATGACAATAGTTCTTGGGAGGGAGAAAATAGTGCAACTTATGATCTGGATTAGATACAAAAGAATCAAACAATTTTTCGCATTGATGTATGCGTCTGTCCTCTAAAGGTGCCATGTTGTATATTGACAGACTGTGATCATAAGAAAGGCCTGGCGAAATATAATTGATAAGGCACATTTTTGAATGTGTTCAATATCCTTACTTAAGTAGTCAGGCAGTGCGTGATGGTACAGTGGGGCACAATATTCTAGAACTGGCCTTATACAAGAAAGATAAAAACAAATGATACCATGTGCTGGAACATTTGCGTGCTTAAGTAATGTGAGAAAGTATATTCTTTTGTTGGCCTTTTGGATTACATCCAAGACGTGACAGTTCCATTGGAGCATGTTGGTTATGGTAACTCCTAGCAATTTTACACTATCTACGCATCCAAGTTCTTGAGAGTTCATGTAGTAACTGCGTCAAAATGATGTTTAACCTACTTAAAGTCAATAACGAGTTCCTTGCATGTATCTGCGTTCAGCTGGAGCTTGTTGATTGCAGACCACTGCTCGACAGCATTGACAGAGACCTGCATTCCACTTTGACCACCTCTTGGAACCACTTCAGCGAGCGTGGTGTCATCCACATATTTCCATACGTCAGATCCAGAAGGGTGGAGATCATTTATCATCAATATGAAAAGTCAAGGGCCAAGTTTTGTGCCCTAATGGAACAGTGCCCCATTTGGAGAGGCAATCGCTAGATAGCTTGACTTCATTGGAGCCTATCCATAAGGAAGTTGCATACCCAAAGGGCAGCTCCATGAGGAATGTGTAAACCCAGAATTTTGGCAGCTAGGATACCATGATCTACCAGGTCGAAAGCCTTTCTGTAATCCAAGCACACCACGCGCACTGCTGAGCTGGTTCCATCCGTTGCTTGTGCCCATGTGTGGATCATTGAGATGAGGGCAAATACATACATACATATACTTTATTTAATCTCGAATTTGGAGTAGCTAAAAGATAAGTTAGTATCTTCGAGTTACAAGTCAGTATAATTCTAAATACTTAGTCTACTAAAATGTAAAATTGTACCATTGTAAAATTTAACTATGAGAAAGAGTCATACTGTAGAATCTTGCGCTTGAAATCAGAAAAGTCAGATGTTCTAAAAGAGTCCGGAAGAGAGTTCCATAGTTTTGAGGCCATATATGAAAAGGAGTGAAGACAATAAGTAGGGTTGAGGAATTGGGGGTAGCTCCAAATTGGTTGGAATCAATCATCTCCAACACTGCGGGACCATTACATTTGCTAACCACAAAGTCCTCAGCTAATTTGGACAAAGCCGGTGTCAGGGAGATAGGTAGAATATGCTTGGCCATGGTAGTCACCGGCTTAACTTTTATCAGAGGTGTGACATCGGCATTCTTCCAGGACCTTGGGAGTTTCTGCTCAGCAAATGATGAGGAAGGTGTCAATCATCCGCGTTCTGATGCTTTGACATTTATCAATCATTGTTTTTAGTTAAATTTTGAGTTATCAGGGTAAGGGGGAGTTTGAGTCAACCAAGTTTAAGTTACCTGATAGTCAGTGACCATTAAAAGAAAATGTGGTCAGATCTTGTTCAAGTTAGTGGGGGATTCCAGTTAAATGAGTTTGAGTTAGCAGGGTTTTACTGTATATCATCACATATTTATTAAACTTGCTACAATTCAATACAATACCTAGCCACTGTTCTCATTTGTTTAAAAAAAAAAAGAACTTTCACCATGAGAACAACGGACATTGTGTATCATAACTTACAGCAGATTTAAAACTGATATCAGTAAGAATCTTTTCACTTCTGTTTCTTCTCTTTAGTTTTCAAAAAGTTACCACCCAACAGTAGGAGTTGATTATGGTGAGTTAAACTTCTTTTTGAACCAGCCTTTTTGGCTTGTTTATTTATTTGTGATATTAAGACAGGCTGGCCCAGTTCAGCTCTATAAACAATAATTACTAGGCCAAACCACAGGACACGGAGTTATGTTCTCTACCCTTTGCTAGAAGTGTGGGGGTTCTTAAAATTAATAGTAATAGTAATAGCTTTAATGTTTACACACCTTGCATCCTTGTATTTTTATACTTATAGATTTGAAATTGTGCAATTGTGATTATAATCATGTTAATTTAGTGTGCAGGTCCACATCAGAACTTATGGTCTTGCCTATTTTAGTAACCTGCCTTAACAAATAAACTTGTTGTTGTTGTTATTGTTGTTGTTAAACATCCCCTGCTAACCAATATAGAGAAGATGTGGGAGATAGGGCCTATATGGTTTATTGTCCTTATCCAAGAAGACCAGAATGTCTAACCATTAGCAAATATCATGATAGTAAAGACAGCTCATTCTCTTCAGGTATTTTAAGACCCGAGTGTTGGTCCTTTCTGGGGCCTGAAACCTCGAGCTGAGCTAACCAAGCTTGGTTGTATAGAAACTGGCACATGATCCTTACAATTTTGTACTATTTGGTTTTAGGCTTCAAGTTGCACAAAATCAACAGCACAGACTGTAAGTAAACCAACCCTGTTGTATTTTTGTGATATCTCACAGATGTACTTACACAAAAAAGATATGTCTCTTGGTGAAGTAATTTCTGAGCCACAGTACCCCTTGGTGAAAATTGGGATTAAAACTCTTTTCAAACATTGAAATGGAGTGCATAGCGAAACCACAACAAAACAATTTCTACAAAAGAAACAGTAAAGGTAAATTTGGAGAATTTGCATTAGTTGGGGATCATTTCCTTTTATTATCTTAAGCTGTTGTGTGATTTGGGGTTGATTTCGATGCTAGTCACTCAGAAGGATTTCAGGGTTAAAAGTGTAAAAACATCAGATACTTAGCAGCAGAACAATATTAACTGCCAACAATAAAATTAAGCATCTGCTTCTGCATGTGTTTTCAATGATGCCATTTCTCGCAGCAAAATTTTTTGAATCAAAGAAGAAAAAGTATATTACCACTTTGCAACAATATGTCTGTTATACATGGACCACTCTCTACAATTTATCAGTGATCCTTTTTTTTTTTTCAGACAGAATTAACTTCTGGGATTTTGGAGGTCATACAAATTATGATGAAATTAGAGTTGAACTCTATGGCCAAACACAGGTTCATCCACTGTTATATATTCTTTAACTCTCAAAACAGGGCTTGAAATTAACGGTAACCCGTTAACCAATGGTTTGTAAATTTTCAACGTTTGGTTACTAAAAATGTGTCCAACTAACCCGACATGGTTAGTAAAATTTTCTGACATATTTAAACATTGGTAGACCTCAGGACAAAGAGTACGTAGACCAGCCTCTCAGAGGAATACTTAGAATACTCAAGTTGTTTAATCAACTTAAACTCTTTTTAGAGAATGTGCTGTAGATGTACTGTTCTTGACTAATCATGGT